CCCCCTCCAGTTCCCCCCCCAGACGGGACCCAGCTGTGGCGTTCGGCTCCGCCGTTCCCCCCCCAGAGGGAGGGGAAGAAAGGACGAGAGGAGAAGCCGCTTCCTCCGGCCTTTCTCACGAGGAGGAAGGAATCTGGCAGCTTCCTGCTGGTGGGCAGGATGCAGGTGGAAGAATAAAAACGGTCCGAACCCATTGTGCAAGGAGCTCACGTGCCGCCCCCCCCCAGCAACCGCCCTCTCGCTTTTGGGAAGCCTTTTCTTATCAAACTGCGCCTTTGCCTTGGAAGGCACCTCACCCCCTCCCAAATCCGTCAGCAAAGCCGGCAGAGTCCCGGCTCCACTCGCGCCCCGACGTGGGGCTCCCCATCTCCTCCCCGATCAGCACGAGGACCAGCACTTACTCCAGGATCTCATTGTATTCGATTGTCTCCTCCAGGTTCTGCAGGTTGGGGTTGACGCTGCGGATGGCGCGCATGTAGGCCTTCAGCAGCTGGATGTCCCGTTTCTACAACAGGCGGGACACAGCGGGGTTTGCAAAAAGGAGTCAGCACCGTGGCCACATGCCACGGAACCAGACCCCAGCACGGCAGCGGGGAGTAACACATCCCTGCCCGTCAGCTGGGCAGCAGAGTCCCAGCTGCGCTCAGCATGGGATGTTCTGCAGCCACCTTCTTCATCCACAAAGCTTTTTTTGGCGTTTGGTGTCCAAGCAGGTGAGACGGACCCTTCCCCGTGAGAGACCCTGCTGCGTGACAGCCCCCTCACACGCACGGACCTACCTGCTCGGCCAGCTGATGCTTGTGCTCTGCCGAGGTCTTCTCCAGCTCGGCGATTCTCGTCTGCTGCTGTTGCACCACGGATCTTAAATGCTTGATGCAGTTGTGGTTTGGCAGCTCATCTTTGGGCATTTCCAAGCTGCAGAGCATTATAAAAAAAGGTGGAGGCCCCACATTAGGGAAAGTTACACACCAGAGCACTCGGTGTAAGCAGTCTCCAGAACAAATCCAGTCGTGGAGGACTTGCCAAGGGAAGCCCAGCACCAGAACCTCCGACAGGCACAGGAAGCCTGTTCCCTGCCGTGTCTCTGGGCCGAGCCAAATGGTCTCGGGGAGAGCTACGGGAACAAACCACCACCAGGTCGGCAGGCGATGAGGATTTTCCTCCTCCAGAGTGACCAGGGTTCAGAACCAGGGCCCCTGGCAGCCCACGGGCCTCATCCAGTCCCTGAGCGTCTCCAAGCCAACAGTCAAGTCACCATCTGGCTGGCTGGTTACAGCACGTGAGTGTGAAGGTATCGGCACCACGAGCACAGGTGCTGAGGCCACACCAGCCACACACCGCTCCTGGCTCTCGGCAACGTGTAGGAGGGAGCAGAGCTCATGCTGGAACTCGTCCCGGGGGGCTGGAAGGGCTCTGGGCGGATTCACAAAGGTTCCAGTACCCCGTTTCCAGCAGCCAACTGACACCAAAGCCCCAGCAATGAGCTGAAGAGCCAGGGGCTTTGATCCCAGTTTAAAAAGAAATGGCTTTGACTAAAAAAAATCCTTCCCAAGCCTTTTTGCAGTACCATGGCCTTCAAAGCCCTGCCAGCCTCGGAGCTCTGCACCCAGGGGGCAAAGGGGTGCCAGGCACCAAACCCCGGGTTCCTTCCCCGAGCCTGTGGTCCCCGCTCTGCCCACCCTCTGTGACAGAGCCCCCCACGGTCATCCTCACCCGCATCCCTGCTCGCAAGTCACCGGGCGCTTCGGATTGTGCTCGCAGTCATTGAGGTGAGACATCAGGTTGTCAAGTCGCACAACTGCCGTACAGCCGAAAACAGCGTTGTCGCAAGTGATCTGCAGCTTCGAGAGCATATTACGCATGATCCGTGGGACGGGGCGGAGGTGGGCAACCGTCACGACGCTGCGGTCCACGGGGCAAGTCTGCTGCTGGGAGAACCACTGGGTGATGCAGGCATTGCAGAAGGCGTGCTCGCAGTGAGGAGCCTGCAGAGGGGCAGAGAACAGCCAGGCGTTACTCTCACCCGGCGGGGAAGCGTGCACTGTGGTCGTGTGTGGAGGACAACCTCGACCAGAGAAAGGCTCTCACTCTTTAAGGGGCACACAGCAGCTACGTGCTGCCTCACGGGAGGAAAGCAAAGGGAAGAGGCACCTCCATTACACGAGCAGGCACAATGCCTGTGCACGGGAATGCCACTGAAAGCCAGGCCTGTAAAGACCAGCACCTTCCACGCCTCCATCCAGCCCTGGTTCCCAGCTGCGTGCCCAGCCCCACCAAGGTGCTCTCTTCCCCCCAGACATGCGGCGTCCTGTGAGCTGGTGGGCTCCCCAGGACAGGGCACGGACGCCTCAGAGTAGCGCTTCAGCTCTGCTCTCTCCCAGGTAATGCTGCCTCTTGGAAGGGCTGAGGGGGCAAGCCAGATCGGGATGCTAAATTTAAACATTTTCCAGGGCAGACTGGAACGTTACTTCACTGTATTTACACAGCTGGGCTCTGCTCTTACATTCAAGCTGCAGTTGAAAGAGTACAAGATTGGGAGTGGGAGCAGGACGCACGCCAGCTCTTCAGCCAACGCTGATCTTTCTTCCACGGAGCAGAAACCCAGAGTTACGGGAAGGTCAGACGCATTCAGAGCTAAGTCTCACTTACAAGCTGCTCCCTCAGCGCACGGCGCCTTGCAGGCTGCCTTGTACCAGTTGACGCAGGCAGCCGACAATTGCAGGACGTACGCTGGATCAGGATTCACCCGTTCAAGCTACAGGACCATCTTGGGAGTTTTAGTGGCATCGCAGCTCAAGCCAACTGGCCCAGCCCAGCGTCTGCGAGCCAGCGGGCAGCTGAGCCTGTGTCAGACAAGGCAGCACGTGCCAGGCTCTGGCACAGGGACGGCTGCTCCTCTCCCTCGTGTTTTCCTGAAGTCCTGCTCTCCGAGGCTTCAGCTCTCCATGGTCCTCCCCTGAGCTGACCCCCTCTGCTCCCCTTGCAGTGTTTTTGTCCTCCCAAGCCCACCTCCACTGAGATGCAGCGATCAGGATACCCCAAGCATCACCAAATGCAGACTGGAGATGTGACAGACAATAAACCAAACCAGATTCACCGGCTACTGCGTGCCCAGAACACAGGGAGGGGCCCTGGGGAATCTCCATCCTTGGAGATATTCAGATCTTGGGGCTGGATATGGCTCTGAGCCCTCCGAGAGATCAGCAGGGGTAGCCCTGCTTTGACGAGGCAGAGGGACCTCGTTGGGAGCGAGGAACAAGCAAACAGGGCTCAGGAATTTGCCCCTTCAGACCAAGTCTCGGCAGAGGGCTTGGCTTGCGTTACTAACTCGTGCTAGCTCCAGTTACGGCGGCGCTGGCAGGAGCAGGAGGGCTGGTACCCAGCAGAAAGGCTGTTAAACACGCTTGAGAAAAGCCTGGGAACAAGGGAGTGTGTAATACCACGTTCTCAAAAGGAGATTTAAATAAACTTGCGACTTTCCCTCTGGTTCATGCAAGGGCCCGTGATCGCATTCACATCTTGACAGACTTTTTAAAACCAAAGCTTGTTTTGACATAGCATATTAGCGTAGCTGGAAGGTGCTAACACACGATTTTAATGACAATAGATTGCAATTCCACACAGCCCCAGCCCACTGGCACAGGGGCACACAACTCCCAGCCTCTCCGGCAGGCAGCTTACCACTACAGCACAAATCACAGCTTTTGTGATGCAGTTCATTATTAAGCAATGAAACTGCAATAATTATGCACACGTTTCAGATTATCTCAGTTTTATTTTAATCCGTTTTATTTCAAATGAAGCTGGATTTACCCAGCGGGTACTGAGCTACCAGCACATGGCCGCAGCTCTGCCAGCATAGGAATGCAGACCCCGAAGGGAAAGGATTGGGGGGGGGGACGGACGACACAGTCCCATGGAGAAGCCAGCTCCGCTCAGCCCCCAGTGCTCCACTGGGGAGGGGGCTATAAAAGCCCCCACTAACCTCTCCCCAAGTAAGAGGGCTTAGCAGGAGACAGCGACACACAGAGCCCTTCCAGCGCCGAGAGGCACAGAGGGCTGGAGACTACCCGCAATAACAGAGCTCACAAGAAAGCCCTGTCCAACAGCCCTTCCGCTTGGCAGGACGCGGAGGGAGGAGTGGAAGCAGCAGCTCCCCATGCACACCCTCCTTCCTGAGCGCCTGCAAGAGCTGTGGAGCGAGCCACAGGATCCACCAAACTGTGCTGGGCCCCAGCAGAGCAGCGTGCCGGAACCAGGGCTGAGGTCCGTCCACCCTCTGAGCTACATTTGGTGGCAGAGGAGCTGAGCCAGGCTCCCAACAGCAAGTAAAACAGATCAGCTCTGTAGCAGGGAGGAAGCATGTGTGCGGGGAAGCAGCAAGGGTCAACCAAGCACGAAGCCGTAAGCAAGGGACAGATTTTAGCATAGCTGCTACCTTGGGACACCGTCACGGGTATGCAGCTGCACTGAGCTTTGGTACCAAGAGTTAAGGAGGGAGTAAGGAATGGAAGGGTGAGGGAAACCTGTCCCAGCAGAAGCTCACCGCTTCCTCCCACCTCCTCACTGACCCCAGGACATCCCCCAAACCCCGAACATCATTTCCACCAGAGCTCACGCAACTGCAGACTTTTATCCCTGGTGCTGCTTCCTTACTCGTGCTGTTGCCTTAAGCCATTAGTAGGAAAGTGAAGAATCCATTGAGCTCACCTAATGCACACGCTGTGTGTGGCGCCCATCATCTGATCAAGACATCTAGAAGTCTGGAGCTGCAATCGGAGGCTTTCAGTAGCCACAGTCAGTGCTCAGACAGAAACCTACCTGAACCGGCTCCTCCAGGACCCCGCTGCAGATGGGGCATATAAGGTCTTCATCAACATCCCCCTGAAAACGTGCTACATCATACCCCATTGCTCATCACCGATGCCAGAACCCTGTGCAGGGGAAGAAAAGAACGGTTAGGAGCATCCCGTGACAGCTGGACAGAGCAGACCCCGGCCCTCCCAACAGCCTGGTTGCCAAATTTCTGCTCTCTCCTCCCAGAGCAGCCAGCTGGGGTAGCCCCGGGCACGGCGGGAGCTCACAGGCAGCGCCGTATGGAGGAGCACGCGGGGGGGGAAGCGGTCTCAGCCCCCTTTGTGTGTGCTGAACTGCTCCTCCGTTTTGACGCGCTGCTGGCATTGCCTCTCCCACACACTTTATTACTAATTCTGCTGCAATTTTTCTACTTGCTGGTTTGTTGGGGTTGGTTTTGCAGAGTCCTATTTGGTTTGTAGAGGAGAGGACAGCACAGGGGCACCTCTAACGAGCGAGCCCACTCCCGCAGGCTGAGAGCAGTGGGATGTGTGCCAGGGACCGCTCCTGGGTGCAGCCACTGGCTGCAGAGGAGCTGGCTCCTTCCCTGGAGACCTCAGCTGGGTGTTCCGGCGCCTGGACGAGGGGTCCCCACGACTCGCCAGAGCTGGTGGGGCTCCTGCTTGCAGCACGGAGGGTGTGCAGCCCCGAGAGCAGCCCCACAGGCACCGGGTCCCTGTCCATCCCCGCCGAGGACGGCATTCCCAGGTAACTCCGTTCATCAACTTCTCACAGCCATCTGCCAGAGGCCGACCTTGAGCTCTGCCCCAGCACACTGGCAGTTACCGGTTCCTCTTTGCTTGTCCCTAAAGAGCCAGCTCTTCCTCTCCCGTTCTCATCAACATCAAAGGCGGTGACAAACCGCCACACAGATTCACACTGTGCTTAACTTCAGATAAAGGAATCCCCACCCCCAACACAAACAGGCGCCAGGAGGGACGGGAGGTGTGCGAGGGCACGCGGACGCCACGTGAAACCACCATCCACGCAGTGAAAAGACTGCGGCACGGCAGGACTTCCAGCTGCGCAAACAGCGGGGGCACAGCTACCTGCTCTGGAGGGTGGGTAGAACGCGCCGTGCTGCTGCTCCGCAGCCGGATACGGCCACCCGGCCAACGCCAGCCGTATGCCCCCCCGCAGCGGGAGCCCCCCCCCCGCCCGCGCCCAGCCGTACCGAGGTCCAGCACCTCAGCCGAGGTGCTTGCGCAACGCCACGATGCAGCTGAAAGAGCTTCGGCTCTAGACAGACGCAGCAAGCAGAGCTGGATGCGGACAGCACCGCGTCTGCTCAGCTAAAGCGGTGAGGGAGGAGAGAAGGTGACGGATGGACAGAAAGGGAGGCTGCAGGTAACGCAATTGCTTTGTGGTTGGGCCTCGGGACCCTCCCCAAGTCAAAGGGCAGCAGGGAGGGACTTTAATCAACCCGCTGGACACGGTGAAAGTCAGACGACAGATAAAACAGCTCCACGTGCTGCTTTGCTTCCACAGAGCAGGCACAGACAAAAGACTCCTCAGATGGAGGCCGGGGTGGGGAAAGTCCCTGTGTCAGAGTTTGCAATTCAGATAACGAGATTAACGGCTGCAGGGAGAACGGATCTCACAGCAACTAGGATCGGGTGCTCTTAAACCTTCCCACGCCTTTGGACAGATGGTGCTCTCCACTGGGAGGGAACCCAAATTCCTTCCCATCCCTTTATGAGCCACTGGCACTGCAAGCCTCAGCACCTCCAACACATTTACATTGGGTTCAAACCAACTGGAAGGGCAAACACGGATGTGGAGGACCCAGCACAACAGCTCCTGGCTGCCAGCTGAGCCACAGCACCCACACAGCCTGCTAAGCTCCCCCCCCCACCATCGAGGTGCTTCGCTTCGCAGCTGGGACCGCTCTGACCTTCTCTGGTGCTCAAGCACTGGTTCATGCCCCGGTGTCTCAGTGTGCCTCTGAATCCAGGAGCAGCTCCACAGACAGCCTGCCCTCTCCTCCTGCTCGGGAGTCAGCACCCGCTCTGCACGGGCGCTCCGGTATCGGGCACTGCTGCTCCAGAACCACACTCCCCAGCAACTCTGCCTTGTCTTTTGCTTCCAAATTCCAACATCATCCTTCCAACAAACAGCTGGGCAAGACACTAAACGTCTTCACAGCCACTCAGGAAAGAGCTGAGCGGAGGGCAAAACGCGAGCACTGAGAGCCAGCCTTGCCATCTGCCAAACAGAAGCCACATCAAAACTTCCGCCAGGAAAATTTCAGCACCTGCACGAGTCTGAGCGCCTCTGAATTCTTCTCGTTCCTCGGCCCAGCTGTTTCCCCTTCTGCCAGAGATCGTCTGTGGGGCTCTGCCAGCACGCTGAAGCAAGAAGCACCCTGCTGTTATCACGAAGCAGAAACAGGAGACCTGAAAGCGTGTCCAAATGCTCAAGTGAGATGGAGCTGGCAACCCAATCTCCCTCCTGCTAGATCCAGAGGTGAATTAACGACCCAGCCCCGCAGGATAGTGGACACACTCATCCTTCCCTCTGCTCAGCAACCTGCAGGATGGCCCCAAAGAAGGTATCATATAGCTAATATGAGCAAGCCCTACTTGCGCAGTGCTACTCAGCAAGAGCGATGATTCACGGGCTGCAGGGATCCATCACGTGCTGAACCAAAGCACAAAGAGCTTAGAAAATACCTTTCCTGGAAGGGCTGGCAGAGGCGCTCAGACACTGGCGTGATGTTGAGCCAAACCATCTGCAACACGGGCAAGACACCATACAGGGGAGGGAAGGCTGAACCCAGGCAAACCCACTGTTGCAGGAAATTACTTCTGCCGTAAACAGCAACTGCCACCTATGATTATAATTGATTTAAGCGAATGAGATTCCAAATCCTGTCCTCTCCAAATACGCACAGCTTCCTGACCCCAGCACCGTCAGCCTCCCTAGGGCTGGGTAGGGAGAGGGGACAGATCGCACAGATTAGAGGCCAGTTGCAGAACTGGGCTTTAGCCCAAATTTCAGAGAAAAGCCGAGCTAAGTCACTTTTTCACCCCTTCCCTCCGCTTCCCTTGTCATCACACTCCTGCCCCCCCCCCCATTTGTAGATTGCCATCTTCTTGGCCTGGGGACTCCAAGCACCTGCACGGGATCTACATGGCAACAAGGGCTTGATGGTATCAGAGAGGATCAGTAATTAACAAGTCAAAAGCACTTTGACATTCCTACCCTTACCCAAAGCCTCCTCAGCATCCACCAGCCCAGACAAAGGTTCCTAACAAGCCCTCGGGGAAGCAGAGGAGAGGAAAGAGGAAGGCAACAACTCACTCCCCAGCTGGTTAGAGCAGCAAGGCTGGCCCCAAGCCTGTCGCATCCCCACGCAGGGATCTCCCAGCTCCCCAGTTGCTACAGAGGGCCAGCATCTTGTCCCAAGCCCTGACTTGTGCTACTCTTCCGTCCTCTCCACAAACCCACCATTTAAATAGGCAAATACGACATCTACAAGTGAAGGCAGCCCATCACCGTGACCTTCCCCTGCTCCGGTCACAGGACATTCATTCCTATGTACCCAATGCGTTGCTGTTTTGCTCCAAATCTTGGGCAAAAGGGATTACTTTTGGTTGTCTGGCATGAGCTTACCTCCGCCCTTCAAATGGCAGCGCAGGGTCACAGCGAGCAAGGCTGGGGTTCTCTCACCAAAGCATATCTGCCCGTCTGTCATGTCAGCAGCAACCATACAGATAAGATTTCTGTGGTAATACTGCGCTGTCTGCCAGCACGATAACTAACTGTTCCTGCCCCCAGAGGAAAATTCAATTGCTGAGAAATTTTTTTTTCTGTTGACAAAAGGAAAGTTAATGGCTTAAAAAAAGCTCCCCCTCCTCCTTGAAAACAAGTCTGCATGGGAGCCTGTGGATTTGTTCCACGGCCCCCAAAGCACATGTTCACATGTTCCCTCCTTTGTGCCACAATATGTTCGAGCCGCTGGATCCCAGACACTCTGGCTGAGCCAAGCTTTCTGCCTGCTCGACTGCTCCAGGCACAGTCTGTGGAACAAGCCAGCATCTACCGGCTCCAGAGGAGCTCTCCACTCCACCAGCACAGGGAGGCTGACTCATCTGCAGATCGCAGGGTTGTGCTTCCACACTCCTGCGCACCCACACAGCCAGCTCTCCTCAGCCAACGGCTGTTCCGGGCTACAAGCACACCTGGAAAGGGCCTGGCCCTCAACAGCTTCGCTGGGGAAGCAGCATCTGCCACGAGATCTTACCAGCACTGTTGGCCGCAGGACGCGGGGCAGGAGCAGACACCTCCACCTGCGCCACGCAAACAACGTGCCAGGCTGTCGGGAGACACTGACTCACTCCCAGGAGCTGACGAGTACGAGCAGCACGAGCAAGGACCAGCGCAGAAGTAGACAACAGCACTGGAAGGGAAGCGAGTTTCACCCAGGTAAACAACGTGCTGGCTACAGAACTCGCCTGGACCCTGAAGAAAGAGGTACCGACCCACCTCGACCCATAGAGTGGTGCCAAGCGGAACAGGCGACAGGAACGACTCCATGTTCACACTAGAGCTCACAAGATAAGCCAACCTGGTCCAAGGCAAACGATAAGTGATAATAGCGAGAACAAAGCGATCACGGGAGCAGAGCCAGCACCTACCTACTAAATACATGGCAAAGTAATAGGCCTGGGAAAATCAAGCACAACAGTCAGTAAAGCCAAGGATGGGACAAAGAGCAGCGACCACCCCAGGGCCTTGTGTTCGAACGCAGAGGTGTCCAACTCCTCCCTGGGGACACCAGCCGCTGCCAGCTCCGCTGCCTGCCCTCCTTCGAGCAGCAGATCCGCAGAGCCACTTCTGAGCCAGCATTCTGGTGCCAGTTCACTAGAGAAGCCCATCCCTTCTTTGGAAATACAGAAGACCAGACAGAATCCCTTAAAAATTAAAAACAAACAAACAAAACAAATCAAACTTAATTAGCCTGTGCTGGAAGTCTCCAGTGTCAGGCTTTGCCTGGTTCTCAGGGAAAAAAAGACACAATTTTCTCATTATTTCCAATATAAGTGTTGTCAACAGATACCAGAGCCGCTTTGCAGCT